CACCCATCTTGATGAAGTTGCCAAAAAGGACGGGAGACGTCACGAATGAATCAGGCTCCACCGTCTGGGAGACACGGAAGGAAAGAAGGTAGTAGTTTTATTTATTTATCCCATGGAAGACACGGAAGGAAAGAAGGTAGTAGTTTTATTTATTTATCCCATGGAAGACACGGAAGGAAAGAAGGTAGTAGTTTTATTCATCTATCATATGGAAGACAGGGAAAGAAAGAAAGTAGTAGTTTTATTCATCTATCCCGAGAAAGACAGGGAAAGAAAGAAAGTAGTAGTTTTCTTCATCGTGTTTGAGAATGAGTAAAGAGAAGCACATTGACGCAATAACAGTCATATATCGCAGGGAAGGAGGGAGACAGACGGACAGAAACAACAGAGGGAAAGTAAAGAACTGGGAGGAGGAGGAGGAAGAGGAGGAAAAGGAGGAAGAGGGTCAAGGGGAGGGAAGAACATTTTGTCCTCAGAGTTGATAATGATGATGATGATGATGATGATGATGATGATGATGATGATGATGATGATGATGAGGATGATGATGATGATGATGATGATGATAATGATGACAAGAGGGAGGAGGAGAAGGAAGGGGAGGAGGAGGAAAGGAGGAACCTACCTCCCCAAAGTGTTTGCTGGCCATCTCTGCCATGATCTGATGGAAGAACATCTTGTCCTCCGAGTTGATGAGTCGGTCGTGGAACACGCGCTGCGTCTCATGCACGAAGAGTCGGAAGATCTGTAGTCGATCCCTGATCACTCCCGGGTCCGCTTGCAGCATGCCTGGAGGATTGTTGGGGGAGTTTTAGCCCGAGTTTTACGGCACTTGCAGCACAATTAAGTCACATGACCACCGAAGATTTCAGGCGTAACTAATAATACTAGACAATAGTAGACAGCATTTGTATAGCGTGAATCCCCGCTCAACAGCAAGCTCTATGCGCTTCACAATCTATACTATTACTCGACAAAAATTCTCCACTGGAATCGAACTCAAGACTCCTGTGTCTCTCCTAAATGCTACACTACAGATGTGGGTAACCTAAATTGTATCAATTTGTATGTAAAACTAACTAAGTCTAACTTGCACACATTTGGAGAGATCTCCGAGGTTGAAGAAAGTTTCCAATCAAAACCTAAATTGTATCAATTTAGATATAAAACAAGCAAAGCCTACCTTGCACACATTTGGGGAGATCTCAAAGGCTGAAGAAAATTACAATCAAAACCTAAATTGTACTAATCGAGGTGTAAAACAAGCCACCAAAACCTACCTTGCACACATTTGGACAAGTCTCTGAGGTTGAAGAAAATAACCTTACCCTTCTCTCTCCGAGACCTATCATAGACTATTACCCTCTCTCTCCGAGACCTACCATAGACAGTTACCCTTCTCTCTCCCAGACCTACCATAGACAGTTACCTTCTCTCTCCCAGACCTACCATAGACAGTTACCCTCTCCCTCCGAGACCTATCATAGACAATCACCCTTCTCTCTCCGAGACCTACCATAGACAGTTACCCTCTCCCTCCGAGACCTACCATAGACAGTTACCCTCTCCCTCCGAGACCTACCATAGACAGTTACCCTTCTCTCTCCGAGACCTACCATAGACAGTTACCCTCTCCCTCCGAGACCTACC